TGAGATTTGCAGTTCTGATTCTCCATAAATACCCAGAGATAGTAGGTAATGGAAATAAATAGTTTAAAACTTTTTAATAGGTTGTGGGATCAGTATGGACAATTCCTGTCACTACCACGTGTGGCAATAGTCCCCTGACTAAGGAAGTATGTTTTTGCAGTGTGGAAATGTGCAAGTCTTGGACATCTTCACGAGAAGCCGTGTATAAGTATAATAATATATTTCTGGTGTGCTGAAAGCATATTTTGCTGTAAATACGGAGAGAGGTTCAGGCAAACAAATGTTGTTCATCCAACATTTACTGATTTCTCAACAGAGAAAATGCAAAAGGAGATTGATTCTGTGATCGGCCGAGACCGAAGCCCTCGCATGTCGGATCGAAGCCAGATGCCCTTTACAGATGCTGTGATCCATGAAATCCAGAGATACATTGATTTCCTTCCTACTAATGTCCCACATGCTGTAATCAGAGACATCAAGTTCAGAGACTATTTTATCCCCAAGGTTTGTTACACTGTGTCTGAGAAAGGTCATAATCTCTTGAAAACAATGATGAGTTTTGTTCTCTGTATTTTATTTATTTTCAAAAGCATTGAAATGTGATACTGAATTGAATTTTTTTTTTTTTTTAAGGGGATTCTGGAAGTGAATGAGTTCAATCCCTTGTATTAGAAAAAAAAAGAAGAAAATACTTTTGCATCCTCTGTATGAAGAGGGAGATATTTCTGGGCTTTTTTTCACAATAGTGTAAATTGTAATTTATTTGGAAGCAATATTAAACACTCTTTACTGAACAGACTCTACTAAAATTCACAAAAAAAAATCTTTGCCATACCAATGCACATATTTTCATGCATTGTGTTCATTTAAAACTGGTTAAACTTTGACTACCCTTCTGTTTAGCTCTGGGAACTTCTTAGTGCCTCCATGCTTTAACGTATCTCCGTTGTACCTTTCTTTTTTGTTAATTCAGGACACTCTGATATTCCCTATGCTGAGTTCTGTCCTACATGATAGCAAGGAATTTCCAAATCCAGAAAAATTTGACCCAGGACATTTCTTGAATGCAAATGGTACCTTTAAAAAGAGTGACTACTTCATGCCATTTTCTACAGGTAAGCTCTCTTGCTGTTTCAGATCCTAGACCATCTTCTCTTGAAATCTCTCTGGAGATTTCATGTCTCCATCACCATTGTCTGTACAACGATGTCAGGTGACATCTGCTAGAGTCACTTCTGGGAAGCTCTAACTCCTGCAATACACTTCCAGCTGACTTCCTTTTTTAGCAAACACAAGAACTCCTCCAATGCTTTCTACAAGATGTGTATGAAGTGGGAATCAGCCATACAACTTGTCTCTCAAACCATCAAACATCAGCAGAACTTGAGCAATCGGAGCCTTCAAATTGCCTTCACACACTGAGCACTCTGGTTGTTCTAGATCTGTAGTTCCTAGTTTCATTCATGCTTCCCCAAAATACTGCAGTGCTGCCTGTGCAATCTGAGATGTCTGGATTTTCAAATCAGTTATCAGCAAAATACTCCACTGTGACCTCTTTTTTTTTCTTTTTTGGTTGTAGGAAAACGCATCTGTGCAGGAGAAGGTCTGGCCCGGATGGAGATATTCATATTTTTAACATCCATCCTGCAGAACTTTACTTTGAAGCCAGTTGTGGATCACAAAGACATTGACATTAGCCCAGTAATCACCAGTCTGGCAAATATGCCCCGACACTATGAGGTTTCTTTTGTTCCACGTTAGCCAAGACAGTTTCCAGCTCCCAAACTCATGAGTGCTCTGGCTGAATGACGTTCCCCAGTCTGTTGAGAATGAAACTCAGACCATTTGGTAGATAATTTATGGAGAGAAGAGTGCTTAGAAAATTGTATGGTGCTTTTAGAATCACCACAGCCAGCTCTTAACAGAATGTACAATCACACAGGGAAGGACACAGTACCCTGTGCAAAATTACAGATTCTTCTCTGCATCTACCTCACCCAGCTGTGGTTCCTGTCTGGCTCCTGACATGCCAGGCCATCTGCACTAGTTCTCTGAGAGCCCTGCTGCTGCAGTCCTTACCACCTGAGGGGTTCCAGCAGGAATAACTGCTTGTACTCCAGGGTTTTTACAAACTCTGCTTCAAGTACCTCTCCCTGTACTTTCCGGGTTTTTTTTTGTATTTGTAAAGCCAAACATAAAACAAGGGTTTTTTTGGTGGAAGATAATGATCATCTATTGTATTTGTGACCCAATACTTACCGTCTACTGTGGTAGGGATAGAGTTTATCAATGACTGGGCAGATGGGTTATCCTCTGTGATTACAATGAGGGTTTGTGAAATTACAATTTATACTGCAAAATAAAGAAGCTGTATACTGTTGTTTTTCTGATATTCAAGAACATCTTTTAGTGAAAAACTAGTGTCCACAAAGCTTATACTCCAAAATCTCTTTCAAGTCCTGTCAACATCTGACTGCTTCATTTCACTCATATGAAATGTACTATGGCTTGAAGAATGAGCTAGTTAATGATCTATAAACATCCATTCCCAACTTGGGATAAAGCTGCACTGACCCTATGGGACCCATTAGAACCCCAACTGTGGTTACAGAGCTGTTCACTGGGGAGAAAAAGGACAAATTAAATAATACCAGGATTGCCCCCTAGTGCCTTTTCCTAGATGTATGCCAGCTTGCATCTTCCCAGTATTATATGAAGTACAAAAAGATCACTACAGCAATGTTACAATCAGGAAAAAAATCATAAGTAGAGTTTATATGACTTGCCAAGCATATATGTACAGATCAATGGCTGGCATTTCCTGCCTTGATCACATTCCCATCAATGTATAATATATAGTGATTACAGTGAAGAAAGAGAGCTGAATCTGTATTATGTGGGAAAACACAGAACTGGAATATTACCACAATGTCATTAACTGTTTATGTGAAACAGACAGAACTTGCTTCCTTTCAAGGATTAATAAGCTAGATATACTATGCATTACTAGCGTGGCATTGCAAAGGCAAAAAGCCACAAATTCCACAGAATCACAAATTCCCTCACCAGAGAAAAAGAAAGCAATGTACTTCCTGTTTAGCTGTGCCACTACTAAAATAGCCAAAACAAATGAGTGTAGCTTTCTTATTTGTTATCTTCATGCTGAAGAGTCAAGGAGGCAGCCAATGCAGATCAGCAAAACAGCTTTAGCACCTGGAGACTCCACCATGGTATGAAGTGGGCTTTGGGATTCGAGGAGGGGTAAATCCATGATTCTGAACACTGTGGATATCATCAAAGTACTGCTCTGAAACCTGAATGACTGCAGAATAACCTGTTAAAACAGCTGGGCAGAACTGTCTCGATGCTGGGAAAAAAAAAAAATCCTCCCCTGGAACTGAACTCTTCTGCTTCTTCTAAAGCAGCTGTTATTTGCTAGGCTGATTTTCATCTCCTGGTTTGCAGTTGCAGTCTAAGCCATCCAGATGAGCCATCAATACCATTTTGATGACACTTGGCCCCTGAACTCTCATCCATCAGACCTCACTTTCCTGTTTTCCTCTGGTTCCTCCTTTTAAGAACCCACAATTTTCTTACTCTATTTTCCACCAGAAAACACTGCAAAGGAGAACTCAGATTTAATCTCTTTCTGTACCTCATGTGGAATTTATCAGGGATTCTCCAGGTGAAACTTCTGAGCAGTAACCAAGTTGTGGCTTTGCTTTTGGACTGATTCTACATTTCCCCAGTACAATGCTCTTCACACTCACCTATGTCTCTTCCATGGTGCTACTCTCCAAGGACCTGCTATCCTTGACATGTGGATTCTACCAGTGACACAGAGGGCCCTTGGGCAAGGAGGGTAACACTCAGAGACACAACTGGGAACATGTTGTCAGCTCTTAGCCTAACTGGGATGCCACTGTCACACAGTCCTCCAGCCAGCCAGGAAGTCCATCTCTAAAATTTCCTCTCAAAAAGAAAGTCTATTATGGGACAAGCCCGTTCTCTCATTTTTGCTTCCTGGAGTTGGAATACTCAAGAGTTTGTGAAGGAAGTCACTATTTCTTACCTTTCCTACCTGAAAACAACAGAGCACTTGGTGACAGTGCATGGCTAGAAGGATTTCCATCTTCAGAGCTCCTGGAGGTTTTCATCCTTGTAGTTTTAAAATGGCAGTGTATTTTGTATGCACAGAAAAGCAACTTCTTCAACAGGAACAGGACATGGTCCATACTGTGCCTTTCTTGCAAGATCTGTGGTTTTGCCTGCTGGCGTGGCACCTTCCTGTGTCCCCCTTCAGTCCTGCCAGACAACACCATGAGCACAGAAATGCTATTTCTATTTCAAACCCAGGACTTTCAAAGGGATGGTGAAGGCTCTCAAAAGTCATCTGCTTCTTTTTAAAGAGCACTAGGGAAAAGTATCAATCCTGACTAAACAGTGGCTGTACAGAGCCTGACAGCATGATGATCTTTATCACACTAGCACCTGACAAGACATTCTTTTAAACACTCTAAGTTTGAACCACTTCTTTCCTACATACAGTACTTGTACTGTCTTCAACTAAACTCACTCAAAAGCCAGCTTCAATTACTTAAGGTCAATAGGTACTGAAAATATATCCTTGGAGTAAGACTAATAACTGTTCAGTTCAAAGGGCTCTGTCAAATCAGCAATTTGGAACATTGTTACCCTAGTAGAGAAGCAGATTTTTGTGCTAGGTGTGCCACTTCAAAAACTACTACGATCAAAATTCACTGGTGAAGTAAAGAAAGGGTCTGCTAAGTCAACTGAGCATGTGATAAAGTAATATGTCTTGAAACTTCACCAGAGATCCAGACAGTTGAAGAATACAATTGCAGGAATACTTGATGCAGAGTTTAAAACATGTTCTCTTGTATCATCCCTAGTAGCTTGAAGGAGTTTGTCTTTATTAACAGATTCCTCTGAAAAAATAAAAAAACCAGCTTGTGTAATCTTTCCAACAGAACTTGAGATTCCAGAGAAATATATGCAGCAAGTTTATTGTAAATTTGTAATTAGTCTTCCTATTTCAAACAGATAAAAGGGGACACCAAAATGAAGTGTTTTCAATACTCCACCCATTAAGTCCAAAGGTCCAGGTATCTTCCCAACACAGAGCTCAATAAAGGAAAAATTAAAGTTTAGGTCCTGCTGCTACTAAGGGAAAATGTCTTTACAGATTATTGAAGACTTTCCCTAGACTGAGTATTTCATGTGGAAAACAGGACTAACACACAAATAGCCAATATCGACATGAGTTAAAGACAAACTTCTACTTTTCACTGCAGAACTGAGGCAACAGTACCCCTTGAGAAGAGGAAAATATTATCCAACCTTAAGCCTGAATACAGCCTACCAATAGCTGGAAAAAGTCCCAGTCTCCATGTCAGCTGTAAACCAAATCCTTGTCATAGAGAATTGCTGTTGTGCAAAACTAGAGATCAGTCCGACTCACTGCCCAGCTCCAGCTTACACAGCTTTGTAATTTCATCGTTTCTCCAGTTTTTTGTACTTGGCTTCTGCAGAAGGAAAAAATGATATTTTAGTACTGGGTAGGTAAAAGCTTTGCATCCTGTAAGCTAATTGACTGTATCATCCAGGATCCTTTTTTTCTACTGCATTTTAGGCAAATATAATTGTACAATAACTTTTTTCAGAATCTGGTATTTAAGTTAGAAAATAATGTTAATTTAAGCCAAGAGGAATTGGGTGACCAGTGGAACATTGATGTTTAACCTTGCAAGTTGAGGGATTCATAGTCTTTAAAATAAGTCAGTGCCTACCATAAAAAAGAAATCAAGCCTCACTAAGAAGCAGTAGTTAAATGCCACCTGTACTAGTCCACCAAAATATAACCCATTACACAAATCTTTTCCCAATGCTTATCACTTAACACATAATGTTTGTGCTCAAAAGCAGCATAGGCAACTCTACACTTGAGATTTGTTAAACAAAACAGTTTACTTTCTTTCTTTCTTTTTAAATTCTCTTGCAAGGCACTATGCTGCTAGGTCTTAACAGTAGAGGATGATAGTTACCAAGTTTTTTGGAATATGCATCCAATTTATAAGCTGCCTGCTCCAGAGCTGCAACCTGTTCCTCAATTAGGTTTATCTGTTCCAGATATGGCTGAAGATCAGCATCTTAAAAAAGCATAAAAATTTTATCTGTCAGTTCTCAGTAATGCACTTCCAAAAAACAGTTCATATTTGAAACACAATAATTTCTTATTACATTCTTCAGAGAACACAGTTCAAAAGGTGCCCTCTCCCACCTCAAAATTAAGTGGTGATTCTGACAGCCATGTTCCAGGAAAATATTAAATGTTTAAGAGTACTGTCTAGTCTCTAACACAAGTAACAAGAGAACATGAATTAGAAAAAGCATTATTCCTATCAGATCCAGAATCTGGGGTAAACCAGGACACAAATTCAGATGTATTTTCTCTTACAGTAGTCTGTATACAGAGTCTAAAGCTGTTAAAAAATACACAAGATTGGTATTGCATAGCAGCACATCTATATCAGTGAGTTTTATTTCCTTCAGCACTAATAGAGTGTGAACCTTCTGACTCTAAGATGCTTTATTTCCCAAACAAGTGAGCCATTCGTGACACCCCTACTTTATTTGGTGTACTTACATTTTTGGTTTAAATCCTTCAGATTCCTACTGATGTTAATAGCAATATCTTTCATTTCTAAGTACTTCAAGCTAGTCAACTTATTCATGTTTTCCAAGAGTTTGTAGTCTTCACTGGTGGCTTAAAAAAATATAAAGTTTATTTTAATTAAAGGTGATGTAGTATGAATTGTGCGCAGACTCTTCTAGAGGACAAGAGTTTTCAAACCAACAGCCAAATGAAGCACAACAGTTTAGATGGCAATACAGGTTATTAGAATATACTCTACAGAAAGATGACATTTTGTGAGTTGCAAAAATCAATTGCACTGATAAATTGACTTCTAAACTTTTTTTTTTTTTTAATTTACTAAATCCTCATTATTTCTACTCTTAATTCTGTCAGTTAGACAAAACTGATAGCACAAATCCAGACTGGTAATTTTTACCATAGGTCCTTCAAGTCTGCAAATCAGGACTGCTTTCAAAATTAGAGCCTATGCAATGCATTAACTTGGTGAGTAGTTTACTTTGCTCCAGTTAATTTTGCATAGCAGTTTATTCTAAAGCATAAATGTTGGAAAACACGCATGATCCTTGCTCTCAAGAAAAAAATGAGTCCATGCTCTGTAGTGCATCCCTCCTACTCTGTCTTAACCCAGACTGCTTTTGTTAGATTGACTTTCCATGTACAAACTTCTTTGAGACAAAAAAATAATTATTTTTAAGCTGCTGATATCACACTGAATTGTTCTGAAAAATATTTGTGCTATTCGGGGACTTTGTTAAATTAATAATAACTAATCTCAGTCTTGTTAGCAGCCTGGCAATGTGCCAAATTTGGACTGCCAGCCTTACCAGACACAATCTAAATAGTTACAGTTTAAACAAACTATCCAACAGATTTCTTTGAAACAAAGTGAAAAGAAAGAAGAACTTGCAGGTCAGTATTGCAGTGCCTTACCTGTCAGTTCACCTGTCAAGTAAGTGGCCATTTTGCTGAACATGTCTTTGCAGAGTTCATTGATATCTGCTTCTGCTGGCTCCTTAGCTTCCTCTGCAGTTTCAATCGCAGGATCCTCTACTCAGGGTAAAGACATTACAGGGTTAAGGCAAACTATAGCAAGTCCAGAAGCACAACAGAAAGACTACATGGTCCCATTGTTCCCCCTTCAAGCCGACTTCAGCTACTTTCCATGTAAATGACCTTCTTTACACTGTTAAGGAGTAACAAACCATGGCAGCTTCTTCGAAGTAGTACCAACATTTCCAAATAATACTTTACGGAGCATTCAAGAGACAGGCACCCGGCCTGACAGCACTGACAAGTATTAGTGCCTCTCGCGCCTAGACAGCAAAGCAATCTGGGGAGAACTTCCGAGTGGCCGTGCACGGTGCTGCTGCTTATTTCTTGTCACTGACTCGGAAAAGAAGCACAGTTGCTTCATACGGGCTACAGCAGATCCCCACCTGCGGAAAGGCGCAATCGCCGCTTTTCTTCTCCAAGCCCGTTTCTAACACAGCCTGCCCTTGTTCGGCCCCTCCCGGAGCAGCCGCTATCTCCCGCCCAGCCCGGCAGGCCGCTGTTCCCCCGTCGGCAGCGGCTGCCGGCTCGCACAGCGAGGCTGCCCGGGGCTGCCCCGGCCGCGGCGCGGCGGGACCCGCCGGGCCGGCGGCGTACGGCCCAGCCGGGCCGGCACACGCCAGCCGGGCTCGCCGGGAGCTCCTGCCCGCGCCGCCGCCTCCCTGGGCCGGGCCCAGCCCCCGCACCGCGGCCCCGGCCCCAACCCCGGCCCCTTACGCTTGGCGGGCTGCGCCGCGGCGTCGGGCGGCCCCTCGGGCGCGGCCGCCATGGGCGCGCGGCCGCTCGCACGGCGCGGCGCCGCCTCCTGCGGCCCGCCCGCGCCCGGCGCAAGGAGCAGCGCCCGGAGCCCCCGCCCCTCGGCGGCCGCACGGCGGGCCGCGCTGCGGGAGGACACAAATGCCCGGGTGGAGAACGTGCTACGAGGTTGCTTTGCCTCAGCCGCTGAAGGCCGCGAAGCAGAACCGAGAGCTCCTGGTCTGTGCTCGCTGCGGCTGCGCCGCCAGTGCGATCACTTCCCCCTTCCCACCGCGCATTGCAGGAGCGGCGGCGGGACTCGGGCACCGCACGCCGGGTCAGGGGCTGCCAGCCCGACCCTCACAGGCAAACTCTTCAGCCCTGCGTTTGAGGAGGTTTTCCTTTGCCTTAGCTGATCCGCTTACATCTGCAGGTCTTAGTGCGATTTAAAAGCATCTCTTCTGCTGCTGATGAGGTGGCCGGGAGACAAGCAGCAGCACGATGATCCGTCCCGTGGTACATATTGTTGTAGTTGCCACAGCCGTAGCTACATGGGTTTTTTTCAGTCCACAGTGTAAGTAGCACTATATACAGATAGTGCAGCTACGAGCTGAGTCTGATGTTTAAAACTTCTACCAGTAGTAAGTATATGCATTTTTATTTAGAAAGTAATAAAGAAAAAGGGCATTCCCTCTCCTCCTTTAAAGTAGTAAATATATTTCTTGCTGTTCATGGAGGTGGGGGGGTTGGTTTCCTTTCTTTCTGCAGTACAACAGTACCTATTTCTCTTCTTAGGTGAGATGTCTAACACCACTGCTATTTACTTTTTAATTATGCTAAAGTTGTTTCTGGAAGTAGCTTCCACTGAGATGCTACTACAAGTACAATTGTTCTTTTCTGGTAATGAGAGCTTGGTCTCTGTACTGACTTCAAACTCAAATGCATCTCCAACATATTGTGAATGGTCTCTGTCTCTCCTCAGATGTGACAGGCACTAACAAGGGGCAACATACCATTGCATAAATGCCACCATCATCTTCCACCTTTTGTGGTGGAGAAACTCACATGTTCAATGGAATATTTTGTGTATAAGCTGGCCACATAATAGTAATGGTTTACAATATCGAGTTTGATATGTACCTAAGGAATTATGAGAATGGTATTTTCTTAGGAAAAATCACTTACACAGCATACATTAATGCATTTCTTCTAAAAACCCACAATCCTGTGGAGATCATGCTCCAGAAACAGGAGAACAGGCTTCCCATCTGAAGTCCAGTAAAGTCAGGTGAAACATTTTGGCACTCTCCAGTAGGCCCTAACAAGCTTTGCAGTTTTGACCCTTGAGAAGCTGCAGGGCAAGGCAACATAGGAGTCTATGTGAACTTCCTCATAAACCGGAGTTTTGCATAGGCAATGGTAAGGAAGATAACAGTCATGCAGAAGAGAGCCACTATGTTTTCCCACATTGCCCAGCTGGTAGGGGCAATTCCTTGGCTGCACAGGTATGCTTCACCAGAACACCTGCAGAAAAGCACAGGGCCCAAGTTCATATTACTATGTGGCACGTATCTTCAGGTAAATACTTTTATTCCTGTTTCACAAAGATCCTGCTACCCTAAACTCTGCAAAACAGGTGATGGAAATAGAGAACCCATCACCAAATAAAACTCAAGGGATAAATCTAGGTCTCTAGTTCTCAAAATGTTTCAGTAGCAGCCTAATTGTTCTTTATAGATAACTGGCAATTTATGAGGAAACCTCAGAACCATCTTAAACCATGGTAAGTACAGAAGCATTAGCTTCCCTTCAACAATCACTGGAAGTTCAAAAGCTGAGGAAACAGTACTCTAGCACTGTTCCCTACAAAATATCTTGTTATCTTTCTAGTACATATTACTAAATAGTTGCACTGCTAAAGCTTAAGGTATCAATAGCCAAGGGTATTTCCAATGGGGCAAAATGGAGCACTGCGAGAGAGATACTTTGGCTCTCTCTGTATCTGCAGAGAGGTTAATATGAAAAAGTTCTGTGGGGGAGGCATGTTTTTGATCAGTTGCTTTCCAGCAACTCTGTGGCTGTCCACACACTGCATTTCCATTGTTGAGTGACCCTGGATTTGTTTAAGGAAACTTATCAATCAGGGCTAGGTTATCAAATACAAGCTTAATTTAGCTCATCTGCCTATTTTTACAAGTAAATTTTCATCCCTACTTCACTCTTGGGTAATTGTGGAGTTTTACTGTATAATCCTAAAATACATCACTTTGGGACATGTTGAGACTGGCTTGTAAGTGGTTATTCTGCGAATAGTATAAAAATTTGACACTGTCAGACTTCCCTTTAAGCAAGTCATCACAATTCAGGCCCAGAACCACCATGAGTTACTTACACTTCTTCTGAAATATTGGGGGGACAACTGCCTGTATCTTCCACTGACACTGTAGCATTTGGATTCTTCTCATCACAGAAGTAGAGATCTCTGTACTCATTCACCTGAAGAGCCTAGGGATAGAGGAAGACACAAGACTTTTGCAGAGTTCATGGTTTGGGCTGTTAAAACTGAAACTCTTCAAAGGAACTTGATTATTAGAATACACATACCACCATTCTTGGAATCACATGTTCGTGTTCCTTTTTATTTTCAAGTTCTTAGACACTGCCTTTCTTAGCAATTGCTCCAAGTTCTGCATCCAGGGTGGTTTGATGTCCCAGGCTGTGGCTTCAAGGTTAATTAGCCATGGGTTTCTGTCTTACCAGCTACAAGTTCCTGTTAATCCACATTCACCCAAACCAATCTACTGGTCCAGAAAATCATGTGGCTGCATGCAGATACTCCAGCATCACCACACTGAAGGCATGGCAAAGTCAGCCAAAGCAAGAGGTGAAGGTTCCCCAGCACTGGCATCCTGCACTCACTGTTATCTCACAGGACAACTTCCACATTGAGTAACACTGATAAAACATCTCAGTGATACCCAAACAATGAGGTCTCACATATCTCCCACCCTGCACCAGCTCCAGCATTCATTTCAGTCACTGTTACTTGAAGTAGGACACTATTCCTTCCAAAGAGGCTTGACAAGGATGCAAACAGAAGATTGAAATACAACTCCCACCTGTGACCTGCTCTATTTATTGAGTTTCAAACAGTTGCACCCTTAGATTTCCGGTACTCCAGTTCCTTACTATTCATAAAAGTCAAATTTAATTTCAGAGAAAGCCATGCTGAAGACTGTGACAGTCATGCACTCTAGTAAATCCTTTAACCAGTTGGAAAGTCACTGGCCCCAGACTGGCCACCCATACAGTAGTTTCTGGAGAAGCTGTACAATATTTGATTTTATTCTAAACCACAGGGATCAACTATTCAGCTAGGAATTAGTGCCTGACTGGACAGCTTGCTCTGCTGCTGTCCAAGCAGCACTAATTCTGTAGCACAAAGTGTTTGTTCAGTCCCTGAGACTTCCAGCTCTCATACAGAGTTCTAAATTTCGCTTCCTTTTTGAGGCTGGCTGGTTTATTCTTTTTATTTAACACGTTCATGCAACAAAACAAACCAAATCTGGCTTTTAAGAGAACTTCATACTTTATACTTTCCAGGAAGCAGCAGTGTGGCTACATTACTCAGAGGAGACCAATGCTACTTTCTACTTACAGTGAGGCCATATCGCGGGATGCTGAAGTACTTGAGCCAGTTCAGCCAGCCCATTACTGAAGGGAGATTCACTAAGAGGCCAGAAAAGATCTGAAAATAGAACAGAGGAGATTAATGAATCACAAACTCGGTTTACTGCAAATAATACCATTCCTGCACAGATGCAGCACAGGTGCACTGGGACTGATGGACCTACTGCTGCTGTCATCCCTGTACCCACAGACATGAGTTGGAGCCTTGCAGCACTCCCACACCACTGGCCCAACAGCACACCTGAGTACTTCAGCTGAACTGCTTGCAAAGAGGTCAGAAAGATTTTCTACACACCCACATGTGAGCTAAGAAGCATGATCACAACTTCTCATTCAGGAGGATTGTCTTATGGTAGAGCTAGGCAGAGGCTAAAGAAGATGAGAGAAATGAGAAAGAGGTGAGAGAGTGGAGAGATGAGAAAGTGGAGAATCAAAAAGGAAAAACTGGGGAGCCTTACGAGCTGATATTATTTCAGTCTTCCCCTCTGTCCTACATCTTTTATCCATCCTTTCTCTCATCTGGAAAAGGATTTGTTTTTACTTCTTATCACAAGTGGTCTTCATAGCTAAACATGACATTTCAGCCTCTGCTTCATCACAAGTGATTTTGTGCTTACCCCACTGACTTCCAGGACACGCATATGTCACTCCTTATACACTGTGACTTAAGTCAATGTACATCAGTTGCCCTTCACTACACATGCACACTTCTCACTCACAGTGAGCAGCTGAAGCAGTGCTCTGTCACTTATTGCAAAAGCAGTTTAAATTGCAAATCGAAGAATAAGAAATGCACTGTGGCTCAGAGCATGTACACAGACAGTGACCAGGAATCATCTAACAAGAAATATATAACTTGGTAGGTTTCACAGTCAAGACATTTCATCACCAGCATCACCTCTTTGAAAAAGAACTCACAGCTCTCATCTCTGAGTACTCAAAATTCCTTTCCCTCTCTCTTGTTCTCTTCCTTACAAAATCAACAGATTTTTTACATTAAAGTTTATTTCAAGGCTTTTTCCTTTTAAATTATCTAGTTGATCACTTAGATTTCTAATACTGGAAGAGCAAGAT